CTGCTTCTCTCCAAAACTCATATCCGGTTTCGATTCGAATTTCTCCCTGTGGGTTGAAGTATTAGCATTACTATCTTTACGATCTAGTGCCATTTACCTGAGGTCACATTTACTTCCCATGAGTTGATCCCAGCGATGGCGCAGATTGATATGGTCGGGTAAATGGAGAGGAATGTTTTAGTCCCGATAGCATTAGAACTATTGTTTCTGCTTGATCAGAGATGAACTGAGGCAAACAAGTTCTTAATCACGATTGGGAACATGCCAATGACTGTGTAACGCCCAGGAAGTTTCTTCTCAGAGTTTCCGTCAAACACTAAAATTAGGGACATATTTTTATTAATTCTCTTAGCTCAGATCGTCCCGCTTAAATCACTCCCGCCGTAATGCTTGGAGAATTCTCCACAATTTTCTGTCAACTTACCCTATGATTCTCGTTTTTTTACAAGACAGAACTCGCCATAAAGAATCCGACACATTATAAAGAAAATCAAAAAATGGGAATGGTGGACGTGTACAGAACTACTGAACTATTTCTATCATACTAGTTTCTCACAGAATAATAAGAATTATCAACACCTTACTAAGACATCCTGCAGCTGATATGTCGAGGTCAGACTAAGCTCCCAGGATCTTACGCTTAGTCCGAACTGTTCATCGTAAATGGCATGGAAACATATGAACGAATGAAAATCCGTTAATCGTTTCCGGTCAGCTGGATCAATGTGCCGTGCTGTGTTTTCACAGCTGTCTACTTTCACAAAAATTCACTTTTTTCATAGAAACGCTTTCGAGCGTTAATCGCCACCGCGACGAAGGCCTCCTAACCCAGCGAAGGTAGCCTACAACCTGGTTCGCTGCGGATAAAGGGGCGTGTCAGACGGGATGGGTGTGTCGCCAGACCAGTTGTTGAAGCCGGTAAGGGACGGCAATTGAGGGTGAACGACTGATACAAACCATGATACAATGCTGTCGTTTGCTCGCTCCAACAAATGGTGGAAAAGGGGTTTGGGGCAGCACCAGATCGATCCCGCCTGACACGCCCTTTCATCCAGACCGAACAAGGCTCTGGGTATCTCTAAAATAATGCAGGTCCAGCATAACTTCTCAAAAGCCTGTGGAATACTTCCACAAGGTTCCCTAAAGCGTGCCGATAAGGAGTTTTGAAAGAAAAGTTTTGGTGAAGTCTTGTGTTTGCAGTTTTTCGAGGGAAGGCTTTTGTCAGGTTCTCTAACCAGTACCGTAAACAAACTTTCCATGTTTAAGGGAAGTCCTTTCAATGACGATACTTTTCACCGTCTATTCTAGCCGGAACTCTCATCCCTCACAGTTAGTACGTGAGTCTATAGCGTTGGATAATTAGCGTACGTATTTTCAGAAACACATTTAGCGTTTCCTGACTTGTGAAAGGATTGACGCATTTAAGTTTCCTAAAAATGAGCTTCAGAATTGCTAAAAACGTCGGAAACTTTTCACTCCTCTTCATATTGCCGGCTCTCCAGATATTCTTTGAATAGCTCGCATAAGTGATGACTCAACTAGCGAATCTCGATTTAAGCTCGCTGATAGAGCAAGAATAGCAACATTCGAACGGATATTACACCGATGTCTCTTTTCTTATGCTGCTGGTTCTATTTAAAAAGGCTTCACTCAACTGCTAGACTTATATGCTCAGAAATTAGAAATATGAACAGAAAATTGACCCTGTACCTTGCCTGGCTAGCCATGCCATTCAGCTCGTCGTATCCTCTGTTGCTGCGAGACTAAATTGCCATTTCTTGGGAAAACAGCAGACAACTTAACTCGAGCAGCTTAAGAGGCAAGCTCAGTGGCTCTGCCCATCTCCTAGGTTTTCCCTTCCAAGGATGTGCGCCTAGGGCTACAATACTAGTTCTCGCAGGTAGTTCCTAAGTTGCTTGTTGAGGTCTCGCACTCACCTTTTTCTACAAGTACGATCTCAAAAATGGCTTATATCGCTGCTTCTTTGCAGCAAATCCTATAAAATATCTGGAATTTTCTTGTTTTTCATCATCCTCTGAGAAATAAAGTGACATACATATGAAGGAAGGCCAGCCAAATTCTCTATTACCAGTTGTCCTTCCTTTATTACTTCGAGTATTAGATTTTAGCCTTCTGGCAAAACACCGTGGAAGAAAGCTATTTCCTTTATGACCACCCCTTGATTGTTGTAGAATAGACTTCTTCTTCCTGATTTCTATACTGCTCGTCATCTTTCCATCAGAATCCATTAGCTCGTTCGCAACGATGCATTCGATAGTCATATTTTGCTGACATCGTCTCAGATGCCTCGTTCATTCGACCCAACTCGGATCGCCCTTCTGAAGAAGTCGGCACCCCGATGTTCGATCTCCGTCGACGATATCCAGTCAATAACAACAAGAAATGACAACAACTCATCCGTTCTGTGGCCAATTCCACGGTTCACTCTTGAGGTGCCTACACTTACCAATGGCTCTTCCGCGACATCCCTCAGACCACCAAGTCCTCTGCCTTTAGGAGGAGCTAATGCTGCTGGATCAGATTTCGATTTTCGGTTAGTTTTAGGTCAGTTTCGACAGGTGTAACAAAAGTCATGTAAAAAGGTGGTTCGCTTATTTTCGAACGTCATCCAATATTCAGTGCTACACGCACGAACCATTTATCGTTCCGCAGGAGAGCGAAAATGTTGTATAGAAAGCATTGACTGTTGATATTCCGGCCTCTTTCAGTGCCCAAAGATTCCAAATGAATGAGAGTGCTGCTGAGTCAGCTGGCATAGCTTTCAAAGGGCGAAGTGGCCCACTGCTTACAAATCACTTCTGAATCCACTCTCACCGTTTCAGCACATCTCTCCAATTTTTTAATTCAGGCATCGAGGAGAATTGGACATGTCGGAGAAGTACAACTACGACTTGAGCAAAGCGCAGCTAAAAGCGAGTAGCAGAACATCAGCCTTGCTTGCTGGTTTTGCTATGGTATGTGGCATTTTCTTTTGTGCCTTTTTGTGTTTTCACTAAATTCGTCTCAGAGACCCAGTTAACGTGGGGACGTAAGACAGGATCTTTTTCAGGTGGCATTGGTGGAGCTGCAGTACGACGAGAACACACCTCACTGGCTTCTGATACTGCTAGGAGTTGTCACAACGTTGCTTGTCTCAGTACACTTGTTAGCGTTGATGATGTCCACTTGTATACTACCGTATATGGAAGCCACCGGATGCACACAAGACTCGCCACATATACGGTTAAAGTCAGTTTTCCTTTATTTGCGTTGGCCTTCTATGTAGAATGAGTTGTTCTTCCGTCACGAAGCAAACTGAAGGATAAGAGAGAGGTGTGAGTGGGTTGTGAAAGCTTCTCATGCGTGAGACGCGGTAGGTGTGGCTGCAAACTTCATTTGAAGATGGCGTAAGTCTGGTTGCGGGGAGGGAAGAGGAACCCCAGAACCGCGACGAAGCCACCATCATAGTTTTCAGTTTCTCAAAAAGAAGAATTCCACCTAAAATCGAAAGAACCCCGCCACATTCAAACGAACTACGCACCCATCCCACAGCATCTCAAGGGACTTGCGGTATGGAAGGATTTCCATGCATCACCTATGACGGATCGCAGCTGATAACGGAAAAATTGCCCACAAAGTTTCATATTCTAGAGCTACTCATTGCTCATCTGCAAAAACCTTTAAAGACACATAAACTCATCGAGCGAGTGAGGTGTATGTGAGACTATCAGTCCCCCCAGATTTCGATGGTCTGGCCCCCGCCCAAAACACCCGGAATGAGATACAGTGCCGGTGTAAACACGCTAATTCTTCACCCAATGCTCCGCCCACTGCCTTTTCGCGCAGATTCCCGGCCTTCAACATCTGAAGTCTAAGCCCGCCTGTCCGTGTCGGCTCCTGGCATCTTGCAGATCCTTTAATATGCGCTCTTAAATACATAGAAAAACCAAACTATGCGATAACATTGGAGGCTATAAAATAAGACACAATAATGCAGGGTCAGAACTTAAAAGCAACTGTGCCACTGTTCTGCACATCCCCGAGTCACGTATCCCACAAACATATAATAAAAAGGCATACCACCGTTAGTTTAATTACAGCAAACGCAGTTCCTGATGTCGAAAAAAATATAAAAGGTGTTTGCCTCCCATGCATCCTCAAAATCCAAGTACATAGGATATGAATATGACACAGGCTAGAAATGAGCACAACGATGTAAATGTAAACAAAACAAAAATGAAAAATCAAGGAAAGGCAAATTAGATAAACTGGCCTGTAAATTTCTACGATCCGGCGCCAAAGCCATAGAAATACTTAGAACAAACGATGGACCTTGGCTGTGTGAGTGCATTATTTTGTGGTAATGCGCGGCCTTGATGATACTGTCCGATCATCGATTGCTCTTGAATTCTGCCCTTTTCATCATCTTCTGCCTTATTTTGTAGGCACCTCCACATTTTATCCGCATCAAGAAATGTGTGGGTGAGCGTTTTCCTTGATTGACCGACGCAATTAAAGACTTGGCAGTAGCCAAGAGCCCCGCACCACGAGCGCGCTTTTACGACGGATGTTATGACCACGACGGGAATCTGCGCCGTAAAAAGGCAGTGGGCGGAGCATGGAGAATTAGCGTGTTTCACGGCCCTGTATCTCCATTCCTGGGCATGTTTGGGCGGGGGGACCACGACACATCGACATCTGGGGGGCTGATAGTCTCATACACCCTCAATGTGTATGAGCGTACCATGTGTCTTTAAACATGTCTTCCCTGCAGTATTCAAAACTTAAAGGCAGCGTCCGCGATCAACCAAGGTGAAAAAACCCTGCACTGTACAAGATCGCGGAGTCCGCAACCACAGCGGATATCCCACTCTTGCGGCTCGAAATCGATTGATTGACGAAGGCGGAGTCAACAATGCTAAGCTGACCCCGCCTGTCCTGTTAATCCCGCCCGACTGGTTAACAGTTATCAATCCTTGCTGGCTTTGATAATCGCTAAATTCCTAGCGTTCGTTTCGTACACTGATAGAGAGATTAACTCATAGACACATCGATTATCAGTGCCAGCGTGGATTAACTAGATTAGATATGTGGCCTGTAATGGCCCCATGGCCTATAACCTAGGTAGTGGCCTCACGGAATTAGCCGAAAGAGGAGGCGAAGTGTTTTGGAGAACTCACCCAAAATCTGCGAAACTCGTCCAGATGCCTTAAATCGAATAGGGTCTTATTCCATGTTCTTGCACCCTTTTTTCCTACTTTTTTGATTAATGCTTCACTTGCCACCTGTTCTAACTGACCCCTAAAACCTGCCAAAGCCTATCGCGGGCGCTGTCTTTAAGCATTTCGTCCTCCTGTGCTATCCATACCAACTAGCTACACTCCTTATCCCTGAGCCAGAGTAGGCGTGGCATTTGAACATGGTTACTCGTGGAATATTCCAATCTGGGACAACTGTCATCTTGTTCTGTGTTGGACAGAGACACGACAACAGTTGTGTCAAGATGGAAATATTCCACCAGAAGCATAGACACCTTCAGGTTAAGTTGAAGAATGCAGCCCCGCCTACCCGATCTCAGGGATTTCGCCTATAGGGGTGTGCAGACGTAAACTCGCGTTTGATTGGGATTTGAGAGTCCACCGACGAATTGATTTGTTATTTCTAGTGTTACTCCTACGTGAATACTGTATCGAAGGAGTTGAGTAGAATGAGGAAGTATTTCTGCAAGTCCACAGGCGTTGGGTGGGACCATGCCTTTCCAAACGAATGTGGCTGCTATTTTCGTGACTCGCTTTTCCCAGCCGTGCCTTTAGCTTTCTGCGATCCTCGCTGGCACTCCTTTTCGCGCATTATAATCATATCTCAAAGTTTACGACTAAACTCTTATAACGGTATGCTCCTTACTTGCTGCAGTTCCAGTACGATGATAAGGAGTACAGAGTGTATCTCCAATTTGCGCGGACTGCTGCCTTCAGAAAAAGGTTACGCAGTTTCGTGGTTAAAGTGGCCAAGTGCATGTATGTGCATTTGGCAATAGCATCTGCTTCCCTAGTTCCGGTTTACAAATCTCGCTCTGGTAAAACTTGTGAAGCTTGTGAAGCTGGAGCAAGATCGTCTAGCCACCATCCTAAAACGTGTCAACTCGAGAAAAGGCTACCTAGATGGGTTGGCACATCTATGGAAAGCAGAATGCCCCCCCCTATCGACAAACTGCGCCATGAGCCGCTATTGTTTTCCTAGAATGGTAGTCTAATTGAAGGGAAGAATTCTATTGAAAAGGAGTTCTTCACTGGCATTTTAGATTCTACATAGATTTGTCATGGCTCTTCTCTACATGTATCGGCTTATTGCTCTTCCTCGTTGAAATCGGCATCATCTTCTTTGTGAAGTTCACTTCTGTGGACTACCAGATCGCTGGCTACATTACTACAGCGATGCTTAGTGAGTTACCTTTCGTCTCCCTTCGAGTTTTTGTTGTTGGTTGACCTTCTCCTATTCTTCTTTTTCATCCCAAATTTTCAGTTCCTGTCGTGGTCGTGTTTGTGATATTTTCATATTTAATACATAAGAGTCGGGTATCGCACACCCTAGGGCGGTTTAAGGATAAGGTGAGTTGACTATTCCAATGGTTTTACTTTGAATTTCTGTAAAAATGGGGTCGGAAAGGCGGAAAGTGATGGTAAAAGCTTCGACATAGCACTACTGTTTTTATATAAAGGTCACAAAGGCTTGCGCTATATCGAAGCTTTTATAATTTCGAGCTATCAATATTTTGAAGACAGATTGTACACTCAACTCCGTGGATCCTGGTTCTTGCCCCTTGCGAGGTGAATGCGTCTACAGCTGCAATAGTATATCTTTTCCTCCGCTCAGAAGTACGGGAATGGGGCTGGAGGGTAGTGATACTGGGGTACCGTCTCCCGACTTCACCCGCACTGCCGCACGGCCAGCCTTACGCCTAACCATAGCCTAAAACGCTGCTTGTCTTCACTCTCTCACTTACTCTTGTTCTCTGCCTCTGACTGTGTGTTCGCTGCGGGATTTTGGTATCGAGGCAAGTGCTGCACAATGAAGACAGCACACGCGGAATATTTAGACAGCACCGAGGTATCGCAACCCCTTGGTCTTGTTCCTGTCCGCTTAGGAGTGGAGAAAGTGGCACGCTACTAGCAGCGGATTCATTTCGCACGGTCCGTCCGGGATGAGTGATTGATCTCTCCTTGAGACTCCCTGTCATCTCATAAGGCTCATGGAGGTATAAACTGCAATTATTACTCTATTACAAACCTGATCTTCTGAACCTACAGCAGCTCGAGTGACAGTTGAAGAGGAACGGTCTACCGGATGTTTTGCTCACGAGCTATTCATGAAGGCTATGCATTGGTTTCCGCGATTTCGGTCCTCACAGACCTTGAATGAAGTCCACTCTTTTAATTTCTGAGCGCAGAATCAATGGGGCAGGGGGCATTGCGTAAAATCACTTAACGTGGTGGGCATTTCTGTACTCCTGCAAACTCTCCTAAATGTGCGAAATGTCACAAGCTGCGTTTCTATGCAAGTTCTTTAATCTTTCTTCTAACAGCATTTGGTGGTAGAAGCTGCGAAAAAAAATTTAGGAGCTCAGAATAAGACTTTTCGAACAATTCTGAGGGGATGGGATTTCTGAGATGAGTTACGTAATTCTTTCATGAGAGCGATATTCTTCTCGGGACCGAGTAAGATATGATTTCTCTAAACGCTTATAATAAAGAAAATGCGACTTCCTTGTAATTTGAAATGGTCTAAAATGCTCTGCCAGACCGGTATATTGGTTTCGTGATTAAATACTTCCTGTTCAGGTCGACACGATGAAGCATTTCCTTGACGTTGAAGCTCAAATACCGAAGCCTTCTCTAGCAGGTGTTAAGGATATTTGAGATTATTATTCTATTATTTACCTCACAGAATACTGTGGTTTTTGTGAGGTTGTAAATTGTACACAGAATTAGTCAAAATAATTTGTTGACATTGAATTCTAACCTCCAGTGGTTCCAAATAGTTGTCGTTGAAAACCATTTCTTCCTAGAACTACATCACTTAATTGTACTTCAGCCTTTCGTTGAAGCCTTAGCTTGTTGTCGTTTTAATATTGATTTTCTCGTTAGCTATTGATTACCTCTGAAAGTGATATGTATTTAGATGTTCATATTCTTTATTCATTGTTATTAAGTCAGTCCGTTGAAAGCGGGTATCCTTTCAGTTTGCCCCTGACGTTAATTCGACATGTTTTTAATTCAGTGGTCAAAT